GCCCCTAGCGGCTGGCCTGCCCGCCTGCCTGCTTGGCCCCCAACAGGTCCCGTGGTTGCGGCGCTCCCCGCCCCTTTCCGCAGGTCCGTCCGTTCGTCCGTCTCCCTCGCCCTTCCCCTCGCCCCCAATGGCGCTGGAAAAGGGCCCCTGCGATCTTTTTGCCCTAGGTCTGGTAGACTAGGAACAGAAAGAGGGGAGAAAAGCCTGTCTTCCACGCCTCAGGTCTTTCCATTCCCACACACCCATCCAAGACTAGCGCTGTCTACCGTCCCACCCTCCGGGCGAGAAACACGAGCCCCTGTAGTGGTAAAATCCTGCTGGCTTGAAAAATTCCACAGAATTTTTGTTCAGAAAAATGTAGGTGCGGGAAGCAGAAATCAAGGGCTTTAAGGAATCTGCAAATTCTCCTCTCCGCCCATTACCCCTGATTTCGTCGTTGTTTTGACCTAATGAAGAGCGCTTTGCAACTAAGTAGGAAGCAGCTTTCCAGCTCTGAATACTGTAATAGTGTAGAAGTAGTCCGATTTTTTTTTTAATAGTTGCCTTCACTTATCGGGATCCACGTAACTCAGAACCGGGACAGGGGTGGGAGCAGGTGTTGGTGAGATGGAGTTCAGGAAGCACAACTGCTTCTCTTCACTAAGTCAAGTTGTTGAATTTGTTCAAGGAAAGCGCCTAAATTTAATTAATTCTTCCAACCCAGATTACAGTGAACCATTAGTTTTTAAATTGGCACACATAATACTTGTGTAATAGGGACATGGCTCCCACAAAACGGGAGTACAGCATTTCCCAACATGGACATGGCTCCCACAAAACGGGAGTACAGACTCCCCAGCATTTCCCAACACAGGGAGAGAGGCAAAATGCTGCCTCATGTTCAGGCAATCAAAGCAGGATTTTTTGCTCTCGAATTATTGCTAGGTATTCTAATGTACATACAAATTTATTTTGGGAGTATGCATACACATTTAAGCATACAAATGAACAATTTCAAAAAAACCTAAATGGGTTGCTTTGTTTATTTATTACATTTATATTCCACATTGTGATTAGGTTCGTTTCAAATTTGAAGCAGTTCCTCTTTTTTGGTGGGAAATGATGACTGAGGCTCTTTTGAAACATCAACAACTTTATTTACATTAACACTTGGCGATTCCACAACTACTTCGATAGGGTCGAAACAACTTAAATTGAGCAACTGTCCATAATGCGACAATGAGAATTCTGCTCGTAGATGTGGAAAACTCACTGGGGAGCTGGACCAAACTGCTCCAAGTCCGTAGGTTTCCTCAGTGGAGTACTCCACACCGCACATATTGTCCCACAGCACGGATGCCGGGCCCAATCTCCTTCCTTCAGTGGTTGATCGAATGTCTGGTCCGGTCTGATCACCTTCTTTCCATGACCTTGCCCTTGGGGAAAGACTACCACTGTCCATTCTAAGGCTTCTGTTATTGTTTCTCCTTCCTTTCTCAATTCTGGATCTGGCAGTAGTCCACCCACTTTCAAATTCAGGGTCTTTCAATAACTCACGTGCTTTCTCATATGTGTACTCATCTCTTTTCATCTCTCTCTCCTCCTTCCCTCTCTTTATCTCTCTTCCGGATACACTAAAAACCCTTTTCTTTTCCTAATCTTTTATACCCTCCTCCCGTGCTAGTATCTTTAACTCCTCCTCCTTTTCTCTTTCTTCTACTAGACAGATTTCAACCTTTCCTCCTCCTTTTGATTCTATTCCTCCCCTTCTACAATAAGTTCCTCCTGTTCAATTATTTCTCTCCCTCTTATCTCTCTCTCATGCTCTGGTGTTTCTATTCATGAGGACGGCTCACTGTTCTTTCTCTCCTTTTTTGTCTCTCCTTCACACACATTTGCACAAAAATGGGATTAAAGTAAAAATGCTTTGACAGTAGGAAGCTTTTCATGCCATTAAACTCTGAAGGGAAACAAAATGGCTATGAAGAAGGAGTTACCTCAGAATTTAGTATAGATATGACATTGGTGAAATTTCATTAAAAAAACACTATTGTTGGGATGGTATGTATGTAGAATATTGGCAATCTCTGTGAAGTCTTTATATGCACATGTATTCAGTGTATTTCTGTTCAGAGAGACACATTGTACTCTGCAGGATCCATGTCATTAACTCTAGTCAGGAAGGACCGTGTTTCCCTGAAAGTAAGACAGGGTCTTATATTAATTTTTGCTCCAAAAGTGCATTAGGGCTTATTTTCATGGGGTGTTTTATTTTCATGTACAACAATCTACATTTATTCAAATACAGTCATGCCATCATCTTCTGGTTGCTGTACAATGGTGGAGGGTAGGATTTCACTTAACGGGCTTATTTTTGGGGTAGGGCTTATATAATGAGCATCCTAAAAACACCCTAGGGCTTATTTTCGGGTTAGGACTTATTTTTGGGAAAACAGGGTACCAAAACTAGAGGCCACTTACGTGATGTATGCCAATTACGCACTGCTGTACTTTTCCCCATGGAGAACTGATATATAACTTAATGTGGCACACGCACACACACACAAAGAAAAAATACACATAGGTCTCTTCTGTAGAACTAACAGTTAAACCTGTTTTCTGTCATCTGAGTGTGTGTCCCTTTGCTGTTTTTTCAACCATTGTCTGCTGTAATTATTACATAAAAGTTCATGGAAACCATTGAACACTGCTAATCCCTCTGCGCAATGCTATGCCTGTATCTCCATGGTTTTGTATTGTGGCCCATTTTGTATGTCAGATGTTAAAGTATTTAAGTTTGCCAGAAGTAGCTTTTCATACTCCAATCCACCTACAAATGTATCTAGATTATTCATATGTAACAGTAAAAGTAACAGTAAAAAGACTCCTTGGAAAAGCCCTTGATGTTAGGAAAGAGGAGAAGGGGACGACAGAGGATGAGATGGCTGGACAGTGTCTTCGAAGCAACCAAGATGAATTTGACACAACTACGGGAAGCAGTGGAAGATAGGAGGGCCTGGCGTGCTCTGGTCCATGGGGTCACGAAGAGTCGGACACGACTAAACGACTAAACAACAACGATGAACAGTAAAATTGCATTGTCAATGCATCTGAGAAGCCCATTTAAAATTGGGCATTTATAGAAAGTGTACAAGGTTATTGGTTTCCCTATAACTATGCACTGTATATGTCAAGGGCCAGCTATGGGATAACTTGACATAGGTGACTTTTGATCTTAAGCTCGTGTCTGAAATATGAGACTTCAGACTGCAATGGCTTACATGCTTAAATGTTCTTTCATATTAAAAAAAACAAGGGCAAACCTGCATATACAAATGTACAGAAGGCTAATCTACTTTTCTATGTTGAGGGAATTTATATGGGAAAGCATTCTGTGATGTGAGTCAGAAGCACTGTCAGTCAGAAGCAGCACTGATCACATCTATCAGTGACTTAAATGAATACAAATTGGTGTGGTTTCAAACTCCTCAGCCAGCAGTTTGGAAATGATCGCCTGAGTAAGACTTTGAAACCACATTCTCCTCCTCCCCCCACAAGTCTTTTGCCAATTGCATCTGTATCCATATAAAGAAGCTAACCTGCCCGCAACAACGGCCATGAGATTTTGGGATTTTAATAAAAGCATACATTTTTTTGGAGCTGCCCACAAGTTGGTGCACAATATGAAGATGAATTATCATTGAAAACTAGCTGTTGTTTGCTTGATTTTTTTAGTGGTCTAATAAAGGTATCGCCTGCTCTTAAGTCTGTATTATTTTGAAGACCACACACAGCCCTTTTCTGATTTTAAATAAATGTTAAACTAGAACCATGAGTGGATGTTTGTGATTTGGACTACAACTCTCAGAGTTCCTCAGGTAGCGTGACCACACAACCATAGTGCCTGTGAATTCTGGGAGCTGTAGCCCAAAACAAGTATCGACACCTGTAGGTTCGTGCGTTGTACAGAAATCGTATATTATATTATACAGTAGGTCCACAGCTGGCTTGGAAAATGCAGGGGCAAATGCACTATGCCATTCAGTCTGTGAAGAGAATCCAGGCGAACATTCACTTACAGGAAAGAAAGGAAAGCAGTGGGAGGTGGGCACATTTCTCTCTGTGGCGTCTGGGAAAGGCGGCACTTCCCTGACGCTCCTAAATAAATGGGCACCGTCCTAGGTATAGAAAAAAATTCTGGAAAGTAAGAGGTTAATCAGAAGTTGAGTCTGTGGAATTCTGGGACCTGTAGTGCGTGACGAGATTGCTGGGAATGGTAGTTTTTCTCCTCACTTCCTTTCTGTTTTTCAAGGACTTCCTTGTTCTACTTAAACTGAGTCTTCCCGGGCACTTGAAGTAAGGTAGCAATAATGACCGTTTCCGTGCTGCTTTGAGCTGGAGCTGATTCAATAGAAGGTACTGTATCAGCTTACCTAACTTGTAGATCTATCGAAAAAGATTTCCAAAAATGCATACTTATTGTAATATTCTATATGTTAGCTACTTTCTTTAAAACAAAGCGTGTGTCAAAACTGCTGCCGTTACCGTAAGTGGCAAAGAGCTTTCCCGGGAATGGAATTGCTGCGCAGTTTGAACTGTTTCCACGGCTGTGCCATGAAGGAGTCGCTGGTCAGAACATCTCACAATTTCAAAATTGTGTATTGTTCTCGGGTCATTAGTAAAATACGCCTTCTACTAAATCAAACTGTTAAGACTCTGTGGAGTCTGTATGATAGACGAAAGCTGACTGGGAAGCTGCTCTTCACAATTGCAGGCAGGAGTATTTCCTCTCCTACCTAGATATGTAGGTACTGAATCTGGAGCTTTGCACGTGGAAATCAGTTATTTTATTATAGATTATACAAAGCAAGTGATTTGAAGTCGTAATTGTATATGTTCATACAGGTATCATGAAGGCAGATGATATGGTAATCCTGTGTACATTACTTCAGAAGCAAGCTACATTTAAAATGTATTTCTAGTTAGATATATATGGATTATCCTGGAAGGTTGCATTCTGTGCTGTTTGTTTGTTTGTTTTTGAATTAAGTGGGACTGCCTTCTGAATAAACATACACAGGAACAGGGAATAAATTGATCCACTGTAAGCAGGACTAACATTGGATTTGGCACACTGTATTATATATATATATTATTAGCTTTGGAAAAAAACTACCAATGTTGGCCTAGGAGTCAGAAATGAGGCAGGAGAACATCTCATAGAATTCTGTGAAGCCATCAATCTGTTCATTGCAAATATTAGGATTCAGATAAAAATATATTGGTGGAAGAAACATCAACAATTTAAAATATACAGATGATATGATGTAACTGGCAGAAGACAACAATGCCATAAAATGGCTCCTAATGAAGATGAAAAAAAAGTGCAAAGGTGGGACTGTAGTTAAACGATAAGAAAAAATAATACTTGCAGAAGGACTAGAAAACTTTTAATGTTGACAGTGATGAAACTGAAATTGTTAGAGATCTTGTATGCCTCAGTTTAGTCATAAATTCAAATAGAGACTACAATCAGGAAATCAGAAGACAGAGATCTGAAAGGGCAGCTGTGAAGGAATTAGAAAAGATAATCAAGTGTAAAGATTTGTCATTGGAGAGAAAAGCCAAGGTCATCCACTCTATTGTATTCCTGATTATAAGAGCTGCCTTTGCCAATTTACATTTCTGCAGGAAAACCCATGCTAATTCTTGTTATTTAATGTCTAGTGTCCAAAGTGGCATGGAGTCAAAGTGATGTGATGATGAGTTGAGTTCCTGATCTGCGTGTACATTTTTTTTGCAGAATTTTGAATTTCTGATAAAATTCTCCCTTTTGCTAGCGATTGATTGATTAACTTGAGCTTACAGATTGCTCGACTTAATGGGAACCCTATTCAGTGTGGTTTACATAATTAGACAAAACATACAATGAATTAAAATAATAATTATTTCTGTACAGTAGGGCTACAGAGATAGCTTCAAGTTCCCCAGAGTCCACCCCTTTCTCATTAACTGGTGCTTAGTCTCAGTAATTTACTCTGAGATATTTGTAAGAGAAAGAATAAAAAAAATATTTACAGTTGTTTGAAATTACAGACCTGTGTATACTGCTTTCTTCTTACCCACATACTAGCAGCCAACTGAATAGATCAACAGCAAAAAACAAAACAACTTGCCACTAAGCAATGAAAGAGGGGATAGAACACTCAACAGAGAGGTGGGGTTCTCTTTGAATTTTAAAAGCTGGAAGAAGTTACTGATTAATATTGGATAGATAATCACTCTAGCCCAGAAAAGTCCCTCCCAGTCACTCCAACTGCAGTGTATAAGGTTGCAAATCAAACTCCCAAAGCTCTTCTCGAATTTGCATGCAGCCAGTTTGAAGTTCCATCTTGCTGTGCAAGTTCTGGAAGCAATATCCTGGAAGAGGCTTGATCCGTATGTCTGTTGTCATCTCTGTGGTGTAACAGTAGATCAGCTTGATGACGCCTTTCTTGGTCAGGTCATGCAACAAGTGCAATCTCATGTTGATGTGCCTGATATATGCATTCATTTTCTCACTTTACAATAGATTAATGCAGCTCTGATTCCACCACCTGGATCAGTACCTCTTCATTGATCCCAAAGTCATTCAGCTTCTCCAGCCATAGCAGTTTTCTGTATGGTTCAGTTGCAGCAATGAATTCAGATTCCGTAGAAGACAAACCTGCAACAACTTGTTCGTGAGTAGCCCATTTAATAAGAGCATCCTCGTACATGAACAGGAAACTACTAGTGGACTTATGTTTTGTACTTCCCTCTGCCCAGTCTGCATCAGTGTATCCTACAAGCTTTGGGGTTTTACTAGCTGGCAGTCTTAACTTAGTCCGTGGTCCCTCGAAAACATCTAGCTACGCTTTTTACAATTGTCCGATCATTCTGTATTAGTCAACTATTGTTTCTGCTTAGTATTGCTAAAGTGACAGCTATATCTGGTCTGTTAATGGTTGTATGGTACAAGTGGTTACTTATAGCTGTTTTGTATTTACTGTTGCTTGGTAAATGTTCACTTCCTTGCTTTTTTGGAAAATATGTTTCCATTGATGTTAACACTCTCCATACAGTGTTCACTTCCTTGCTTTTTTGGAAAATATATTTCCATTGATGTTAACACTCTCCATATCTTGGGGGCCCAATGTCTCCAGAAGCTCAACTGTTACTATCTTTTGTTTCTAATTTAGCAAACAGGACCCATCTGCTTTACTTTCAGTTAATACTCAAATAATATGTTGAATCCTTTAAATCTTTGATTTCTACTTCTTTGTTAGGATGGTGTACAATGTCTTTGTACTCTTGCTCCCTTTGAGTAGCTACAATTATGTCATCTACCCAGGCAAGAATAAAAGTAAATGTCCATTTCTGCTTCTGGTATACCATGCTATATTCTGTATGAGTTCCTTCACATGGCACAATCCATTGGATAAACTCCAAAAAGCTTGAGAAGCTAGAAGCTGCTCTCTAACACATCCCATCATTCATTTTTTCTTACATCTCTCAGACCTCCCACGTTTTACACTCAATAGCTGTAAACCAATTAACTTCAAGGAGGTGTAACACAACTCTCCACCCAGAATTCTCATTATGTCCAGGTGCGTTATCTTGCTCCCAATTAGGATGGTATGTGTTGAGTCTTCACACTGGGCCTCCCTCGTCCTTGCCTCCTTATCGCAGTTCCCTCTGTACCAGGAAAACTGAAAACAGTTTCACAGCCTAACACATTCCAATGCCTTAAAATCATTTCACTTTGAACCTAACAGTTTCCATTTTCTGACTACAAATCCCACTCTCCTTCAGATCATCACAACATCTAGGTGCTTGATTTGCATCTTTCTGCTGTGATTCACAACAGGAGCAAAGGTTTCTTCAGTGTTTATATTACAGAAGAAATACATCTTCTCTGTATTTCTGTAGACGGAGGTCTTGAGGGTGGGTAGTCCTTCCGCCAGCGGTATAGGTAACTCCCTTTCTTTCGGGGGGACGACCCTTGCCGCAAAGAATGAGGTTTGCAGCTTGGGGGTACATCTGGACCCGGCGCTTATCATAGAAACCCCGGTGGCGTCTGTGGTCCGTTTCGCCTATTTTCATCTATGGTGGATTGCCCAACTGCGTCCATATCTTGATCGGGAGCCCCTCACTATTGTAGTACATGCGCTCGTAATCTCAAGATTAGACCACTGTAACGCATTCTATGTGGGGCTGCCTTTAAGGCTGATGCGGAAATTTCAGATGGTCCAGAATGCGGCAGCCAGGCTACTTAGTGGGATGAGAAAACACCAACACATCTCCCCCACTCTGGCTGCTTTGCACTGGTTGCCCATCCGTTTCCGCGTCGACTTCAAAGTGCTAATGATCATTTATAAAGCCCTAAATGGTTTGGGACCTCAATATTTGGCAGATCGTCTTCTCCCACCCAGATCTACCCGAATCACCTGCCACAGCCAGCAGGGACGGCTAAGGGGCCTGACGCCGAGAGAGGCTCGAAAGGAAAAAACTAGAAACTGGGCCTTCTCGGCGGTGGCCCCTCGGCTGTGGAATGCC